TCAGAAAATGTTAAATGTGTAAAATTTGTCTTTAGATAATTTAATTATGTACAGTTATTTTTTTTCTATTGGCCTATTTTGGTGGTTCTTTTTCACATTCACACATGCGTGCACATAAATATATATATATATATATATATTTTAGTGAAATATGGTTCAGTTTTTGAGGAGACCCAAATATCACATTAATTAACATTAGTTATTCGGGTATTAGTAATTAAGTGCACTGCATTTTCATCTTAAAGATTCTGTTTAAAAAAAAACAAAACATAACAAAAAAACCCCAGCATTTTTCCATTTGTCTTTTTCCTGACATGATTGAGACAAGATTTGAACTACATTAATTAAAAAATGTGAAAATATTTATTTTACAACTAAATTTTTAAAGTTGTACTGTTCTTATTTTGAATTACTTTATTATTTAATTATTTACTATGGTATATAAGCATTTTTAGTTGCCAATAGTTAAGTTATTTATCACATTTATGTCTAAAACCTGTTGTCTTCACAATCCTATTTGTCAAAAATCATACATGTTTGAAAATGGTAATTTAATTTTGTGATATATTTGAATGAGGGCATTATTTATGTTTGTAATCTATTTACATGAAAATTATCTCAAGACATCTATGGTTCAAGACACAGACTTGCTATTTGAGAATTATGGAAAGTAAATCTGATAAGTCCTTTACGTTAAACAACAAAAAGTACATATGAAATGAAAGGGGGAACATATTTTCTTAATAAATTGTTTATGGGCATATGTGATAACATCAAGATATTGCTGTAAAATGTTTTATTTACAAAACCAATATGAAGGATTTAAGAAGTAAGAATTCAGATGAGATCGCAAAACTCTAATCAGGTCTTCACAAGAAGGCAAATAATTACTCCTTCATTTTGAAAGACTAATAATTAGCATGATGGTGATGTAAGATTGGTATGCAGATTGAGGGTTGTTGATTGTCTCCAGAAAAGAAGCAGTAGTGTATTGTTAAATGGGCGTGTTGATGAGTCTGATATCAGTAAAAGGAGGGGGGGTTATGTAGTGGACAGGGGGGAAATTGACTAGCCATGACAGCCCATTTACCTGGTGAGTATTGATCCAGGCTCCTAATTGCTTATTGTTCTCCATTACAAAAGACATGAAAAGATTGGTTATGTCATTGATAATGGCTAGATTAGGTGAAGGCCAACACAGCTTTTCATCCTCTTTTGGACCAACTTTTATAACCATATATGTCAGGCAGTTCTTAAACTTGATAAAAGTATTTATTATCAGTATCTAAATTTCAAACGGAAACAAATGAGGTCTTGATTACTAATTTATAGATGAAAAGAGTTCTTTAAATTTGTAAAGGAGGATTCATTATGGAGATTTTTTGTGGGTATCTTTGTTTCTTTATCCTATTAAGACAAAAATAATTCTTGGATTTTTTCTTTTTATTAAAAAAAAAATCCTAAAAACTAAAGACTTGACAAATATCAGTAAATGGATGCTGGACAGTATCACGTACATTAATAGCTGTAGTTTGTAGAGAAGATTTCCACTAATGATAATACTTGAAGTATTAGGATACACAAGGTGCTATGTTATTTGATGTGGTACTTCAACTATTTTTAGAGAAAAATGTTGTGCTTTTTACTCTTAGGAAAGACTTTAAGATACTTTGTTTTTTGAAAGGTTTTCAAACTGAGTTTTAAATTGCCATGACCGAAACTTGGATAAACAAGGTTTATAATATGCCTGGATTTTTAATATATATGGAAGTAAACTACAGAAGTCAATTTAATTAACGGTTGTTATTTGAATACTCCAGTTTTTATATTTATAAATGGAAATTTTACAGCAATAAATAAAATTAATATTAGTATATAATTTATTTATAAAAGGAAACTTCATAGATATTAGTTTAATTAATGGTTTGTAATTTATTAAATACTAATTAAAGGAAATTTTATAGAAATAAATGAATTAATAGTTTGTGATTTACATTGAATATTTTTAAAAAGAAACTTAGCAGAAAGGAATGAAAATTAATAGTAGGTAATTAACAATTAATATTTATAAAAGGAAAACTTACAAAAATAAATTAAATGAATAGTTTGTAAATTACACTGAATGTTTGTGAAAGGAATTTCTACAGAAATAAAATAAAATTGAAGATTAAGATTCTGTGATTCACTGTAGTACAAGGAATGGATCTTTTGGTTTCGGGGTGAACAGGTAAAAACGGTAAGGTTATGTTGGTACTAATGAATATTTCATCACTCAAAAATTACCTATTATACACGTACAATAAAATATGAAAACCTTAAAATGAGATCTATGATTTCGCATGCAAATATGTATCCAAATCTTTCAAGGATAAATGACATTTGCATTGGATTAATTAATTTTATGTTCTGTGAATACACATGTAACTTGAGGATACATTTCTTCAATTTCAAATGTATGTATTTCTTAATAAAGTGTTTATGACCTCGTCAGGGAGTGAGATGAGGTATCACACCAATTGGTTTTTTTAAGGTCATTAGATGAAGAGAAAAAAAAAAAAAAAACTATAGATTACCTGACATACAAGCTCTATAGATGTAGGTTACTGTGAGTTTAGGCCAGTTGAGGAAATAATACAATAATGATTATCTAGAATTACTTACTCTCGAGGAATTTGTATGGATGTACAAGTTACTTGAGTCTTCTCTGTAGAATGGAAGGTGTGTGGTCCTTTAAGTTTTACTGGGGCCAGATTTAATACATGTAAAAGGGTGCAGTATAAATTGCAAGACAGCCGTAGTGTATCGCTGACAACTTCTGGGCAGTAGCATCAAAATCAATAGTCATGGTTAGCTATAGAAAATCATTAAACAGTACTGGCGCTATATTAACTGACCTATTGATTGCCACATAACTGTATGATTTTTAACAATCATCACAAGGTAATTAGCTGTATATCGTCAATGGAGCCATTGCTTCTTATAGATTGTGGTGTAGATCAAACCATCAGATCAAAGCAACTACAACTCGTCTTTAACAAGGCATGATATGTGCATGGAAATTTAACTATGTAACTTCCAATACAAGTTTTGTTGATATAATGAAAATAAAAATCTGAAATTTCAATAGTCTAGTTTGTGGAAGTAACTGGCAATTCATCATGGCTGTCTGTTTACATAATAAGCTGTGTATAATTTAAGGGCAGTTATGTGTTGTTGATGGCAGTCTAGAATTTTGAGCCAGCACAGTTTGAAACAAACCCTCTGCATGTTTGTCCTCTGTAAAGGGACTTTCATCTTCACAGTTCAAACGACCTGTGGGAAGGAGAGGGATGTAACCATGGCAATGCTTAACATTTTCCCCTATTTTAGCAATTCAAAATCATTGTACATTGGCTTTGATGAATTTACGGCCGACTGTAAAAAAGTCAGTGGGAGTCTTCAGTATTGATTTAATGAAGATTTTATTGAAATTATTTTATTATCACCGGTTCATTTTCTTTATTTACGTAAATAAAAGTATGTATAAAAAGATATTTCTGTTACATATATTTTGTTACGCTAAAGTATTGAGAAACTTTGAATGGTGTCCATTATCTAATTGTGAACTACAAACCTGATTACATTTACAATAAATGATGTCAATTGATTGTCTAAATTTCATCCTCAAAGAAGTGCAAGTTTGGTCTGCAGATTTCGTTTATATCATGTTTGTTTAAATAAAAAAAGTATAATCTTTTATCTTTTAGGTAAAACAAATATTTATGTGTGTTATTTTCTTTACATATCTACAATTACCAACTGGTTTTAAATAACATGTCCATAATGTTCTATTTGAATGAGGGAAATGGAAAACCGATTCTTTGTATTTGTATTAGTGCAAAATGTATTTTTCTCTCCAAGAAAAGAACATTTTTGTTAGATGTATGTGTGTCATTTACCTGTTGGTGTGTATACATGTTGGAGTGTACAGTGTTAAGGTTACCTGTGTGGGTGTACATCTTGGTGTGTAGGGTGTTAATTTTACCTGTGTGGGTATACAGTGTTCATGTGTAGGGCATTTAGTTTACCTGTGTGGGTGTGCATGTGTTGGTGTGTATGGTGTTTAGTTTACCTGTGTGGGTGTACATGTTGGTGTGTAGGGCATTTAGTTTACCTGTGTGGGTGTGCATTTGTAGGGTGTTTAGTTTACCTGTGTGGGTGTGCATGTGTAGGGTGTTTAGTTTACCTGTGTGGGTGTGCATGTGTAAGGTGTTTAGTTTACCTGTGTGGGTGTGCATGTGTAAGGTGTTTAGTTTACCTGTGTGGGTGTGCATGTGTAAGGTGTTTAGTTTACCTGTGTGGGTGTGCATGTGTAAGGTGTTTAGTTTACCTGTGTGGGTGTGCATGTGTAAGGTGTTTAGTTTACCTGTGTGGGTGTGCATGTGTTGGTGTGTAGGGTGTTTAGTTTACCTGTGTAGATGAACGTGTATTGATGGACCAATCTGGGTTGACAGGTTAATGTTGGGGATACTGTATATACCTGTGTTTTACCTGTAGTATACTTGGGCTTGACAGGTTATAAGGAAACTTCTCCCCTCTGTTGTGATAAAATGTGTGTTCAAGTTGTGGAATTAGTAGTTGTAAAACTTGATAATGGTGTGATTGAAATATCAGGTAATCAGACCCCGTCATTATTTGAACATTTCATGTACATGTGACTCGATCAAGCAATTTAGTGACATTGATACACTGTGGAGTACACACACACTGGGAACAACAGCTGTACATTCAGTCCTCTCACAGAACAGCTTAATTAGCATTGTTTAGTCACACTATACTAAGCTGTACAAATACCTTTTGTAACATGTAATGCACTCTACCATGTACTTTTGTTGAACTATTTGGACAATTTGATACTTATATTAACAAAATGGTAATGCTATTACAGAAAAAAAACCAAACAAAACAAAAACAGAATTTTAATGTTGTAGCTAATTTGTAAAATTTTGGGTATTTTTCAGGTAAAGGTGGGAACCAGGGACAAGATAGAAATGCAGGTGGATTTGGGTACTCCGTACCTTATCAACCATACCCCAACGGCACAAACAATTTGGTGAGTAATGTCTTTCAGCATGAGGCTAGTGATACAAGGGACACAACTCTTGTATGTTTTGTTGCCTTTAGTAAGTCTTCATGTGATTTAGCTGCTGATATACAAATCTACATGACAACTTCCTTTGTCCTAAAACATGTTATTTCAATGAAATAACACTATTATTCACTTTTTTTTTTGCCCCATGAAAATAGACACCGTCCTGAAATGATGTTTTAATGTATTGATAGCACATAAACAGCCAATCTATTCCGTAAACCTTCATAAATTATTCATTTTCATATGGTGTTTAATTTCATCAGTATTTTCAATTTCAAATAGAATAATGCTAAATGTGCACAGTTGTTGTGTATGTATAGTCAAGCCTAACTCCGCCAGGTGTCATATTGTCCAGCCAGTCTCGTCACAATAGCAAATATATGTCACCTTTAATTTGTTGCTGCACTAAGAGGGTATCACTAAACTGGTTTTAACACTTTATCCAACAACTGCTGTTCTGGTTGTCCTTTTTTCAAGTATACAGCCACTACTTTCAAGATGAAATTTTTATCAAGTCATGATTATTCCGTTTATTTGATTACATAGTCTATCTACCCTGGTATTCTACTGTTCAGTCAGTGACATTGAGGAACAAAACCTTTTGTTGTGTATACATATGTCAAATAAAGTCTGGCCCTAGAAACCTTCACTTATTACAAGGTACAAAATTTCTACCTCTTTTTATGCAAATAACACCACCCTGGTAATTCTGACATTACGGTACAAGACTTGTCCCCCCTTCTCTACCCGAGATCGTGAGCTGTTGTTGTTGAATAATGGGATTGTGAGTGCCATTATCAACCTATTATGCAAGTATGTTATTTAAGATGTTCATTTACATCTTTATGTAAGGTAGTTGATGTTAATGTGACAAATGTAAAAATCATTCATACAAAATACATAATGTAGAAGGGGACATTGTGACACAGCCAGCTAGTTGTCTCTGACCGAAGACTTGCCCACAAAAACTACCAGCGATGTCTTCACAAAAACTAGAGTTTTGACAGGAACATCTAATCTTGTCTTGGAAATAATCATTGTATATAAGGAAGGAAAGCATGTTGACGAGTTCATTAGAGCGACTTTAAAAGATATTATAAAAATGTCTGGTTTCTCCCACTTTAACAGTTATGTGGAGTCAGATTATATGTTTTGGAGATAAGACAGTTGACGAGATAAACAACAAGGGTTAATTCGTCTTATTTGATAACCAGTGTCATATAGGGCTTCATCTCCATAATAATTCACTAAAAATGTCACAGAATCTTGTATCTTATTATCCATCTTTTTCTGTGCTAGCTGTACTTCCCTCAGTCATGTGACGCTTTGTATAAGTAGGTAAAAATGACCAGCCGGTAATTAATACATATAGTTGATGTTGACCAGGGATAGAGTTAGGATGATGGCAAACAAAAGAATTGTGAGTGTTTACCATGAATACAACCTAACCTTGGACTTCTACTGTTAAGATTTCATTTACCTGTTTCCTGAAAACACTGAATCCTGCGGATTTTTCTATTGTCTCTGAACCGTGAATGTAATGAATTTATAAGTTCAAATTTCTCACAGGAGCTGCCAGATAACTCTTGTTACAATTTAACATACAAAGTTCATGTGTATTCCTGATCTTGCTAAAGCTACATACATTATTTCAAGGGTTGGAACTGTCGTAGACAGGGACACCTCACAACTACAGATCATTCTTTTGTCTTAAATTCTATTTGTTGTATTTTATTTTCATGATTTGTCCATACCCTTGAATATGACAGTTTCAACATAGCAAAAATTCGATATAACTAGGGTACAGTATATGTTCAAAATTGTATCATTTTCTACTGAACCAGTAAGTCCACTGCATGTTTCACTTTAATGCAGAAGGTTTGTAGAAGATGTGGTAGACCAGATAACCAGACTAAGGTATACCAAGGCATTGATGTAAATACTTATCTGGATTTCTTTTAGTCTTACTTTTGATTAATGTCATATTATTTAATGAAAACTTTTTTTACTCAAAGTGTAGTATACCTACTAAATATGCAATCAACCATGTAAGAGGTTTTATCTACCGTTTAGCTCATCACCTCACACCATCTCCCACACACTTCAGTGGTAAATTAAATATGTTTTGCCTCTATCTAAGATACATGTACCATTGCTTTCAAAGACAGTTCACCACTTATAGAGATGACACTTTTTATGATTATCCAAATAGTTACAGTAAATGCTATGATGGGGAGAGGTGATTGTTGAAAGGTGAGTCATTCCTAACCTCGCCCCAGTGAGAGGAGACCAGTACCTTTCACAGTAGGGCCAGGCTAAGCACCTGTACTTCTTGACATTTTTGCTGACAATAACCATGTGTGTTGTGTAGAGCTAGTGAGCAGTGCTGTATTGTTGTTCACCAATGGTACAAGCTCAATAACTCCAGGTTTCTGCTGTCAATTTCTACTTTTGAGATTTCTACTCAAACAGCTTAGTAAACTTACACAGCACACATATAAAAGGATATTGTTTGAGTGAAAATTGCACCCATGTAGCAAGAAAGGAAAACATTGGGAGCCATTGGAATCTAGAGTAATTAGAAGAAATTTAGAATATGTTATTGTATGATGTCGAATACAAATGGCCAAAACAGTGCTTAAACTGCACTAAATTTGTTAATTCATATTTTACCTAATTGGAATGAATAACACTAAACATATACCGTCCTTAACATTAAAAAAAAAAAACACAATCTAGTAATGATGTACTCACATATCCTGATGCCTTACAGCAATGCCAGCTCACTCACACATCCTGATACTTTACAGCAATGCCAGCTCACTCGCACATCCTGATGTTTTACAGAATGCCAGCTCACTCACTCATCCGAATACTTTACAGCAATGCCAGCTTACTCACTCATCCTGATATTTTACAGCAATGCCAGCTGACTCGCACATCCTGATACTTTACAGCAATGCCAGCTCACTCACACTTCCTGATACTTTACAGCAATGCCAGCTCACTCTTTCATCCTGTTATTGTACAGCAATGCCAGCTCACTCACTCATCCTGATACTTTACAGCTCACTCCTTTATCCTTAGGCTTTACATTAATTTGATCTTTTTCTCACATGCTGACCCTTTAGAGCTATGTTGACTTTTCTCACATTCTGCAATACATAGCACCAGCTCACTTCCATAGTCTGATGTGGGAAGTAAAACCAGCTCGCTCTGATACCCTAATGTCATATGTTTAGATTAAGCTTACCTTCATTTACCCACATACTTCAGTAACAAAGTTCTCTAGCATTATTAAAGAGAGTAATTTTAAGATAAGGGAAAAAACTTACAAGAATTAGATGAAAACAGAATACTGACCATCACCATGTATAATTTCTAGGTAATTGATAAAATTTGGGCTATTAACTTCATCAATTCAAATGTATTTATCATTCAAGTAGATGTGAAGCAAAAATAGCTTTAGTGAATTCACAGCAAATTGATCTTAATCTGTTGAAATAAGACAAGCAAATGTATGGAGTTCCTGATCTGTGTGTTTTTCTCTTCCACAAATGCCATGGGCGTTAGAATTTTCCCAGTCTGCGTTATAAGAAGTTAGGACATGATTGCCATCTTTATGCTGTTTGAATCTCCTAAACTTTCATTTTCTCCTCCTGAATCTCCTCAAACTGTGCAGGTTGCTGTTGAAAAAAAGATATAATGGGAAGGAAGCAACAAAAGCAGCAATTTGTGTTATCTTTGGAGGGAAGTGATCACTCTCCAGTAGAATGAGTCGGCATGTTGACATGATGAATGCTGACCCATCTGGCTATCAGCACAGAGGCGACTATAATCTATATTAAAATTTGTCGTAGGAAAAGAAGAAATCTATCCAGTTCATGAGTATTTCAAACTATTTTACTTTGTAACACCATAAAAGTGAGCAGAAAATGTTGGATAAAAGCTGAGGCAGACAAATGTTCTTCACATGGGTGCAGTTGGCACTTAAACCTATAAAATAGAAGTCCCTACGGGCTGATCATCAAATAGGGAAAACGGATAGACACTTTTTGTAATGCCACAACTCTTCGATTAGAAACAAAGAAACTTGAGACAATCTTTCATCGAAAGTTTGGTCTAGGTTTTGCTTTGATTTGGGATTTGAAGTTAAAAATGTGTCCCAGGCTATTGGAAAGTCAGTCATCATATTTGGGTTCCAAATGTGTTAGCACTGATGTACCAGTCCACCAAATATTACCTCTGTGTTGGGATGCACTTGAATCTTCCAGTTCATAGCAGGTCTGCTTCATATGTTTCCATATTTTACAAACCATACAAATATGAAGTGTCAAATGATTTGCTAACTGTCTCAAAATAAGATATATAAATATGTTGGAAATCATCCAAAATGTGTTTGATGTTATTCAAGTGCAATATAAAATTTCTTGACTAACGGTGATGGGTGTGGCAAACCTATTGACATTAAACGTACATTTAAATTTCTGTTATTTGTGAAAGGTTAAAAAATAAGTGTTGTTTCTCAAAAAGTTTCTTACCTAGCTTGAAGAAAGTGGGTATATGACATTGACTTTCAGTTGTCATCCATCCCTCAAATTTTTCTTTAAGCAACTTCTTCTTTAAAGCTGTTCAAGTCAAGGAAAGTTCATAGTGTCTATTTTGCTTAGTTAAGAAGGATGAGACCATGGATAACTAAGGTAATTCTAAACTGTTATCTTTGTTCATCTTTGTTCCTGGCTGTACCAAACCCAATCACACAGAGATTTTAAGTTGCTTTCATTTCTTATGATTTTAGCTCATAATATCACTACCCAGAGTTACCTCTTCCAACAGAGGCAAAGGTATAACCATCATATTGAAAATCTTCACTTTATCACTGATTTTTTAGAAAAGTTTAGGTAATCTAAAGGTATGGACAACTTTCCCTTTTTAGGGGACTAAGTTTTCATTTACTTTAT